GTTTCCATTTTTTCCTTTTCTCACAGTTTTTCTTTTCGCTTCTTTCCTTTCCCCTCCCCTTCCCACTTCCCTCCAACTTTGGCTGTGTGCTTTTCTGTTGGGACCTGGGGGGAAACTGAGCTCAGGGCCCGCTGTGCTGCGCAGTACCTCCTCTGAGCCACGTCCCCAGCCCAGCACTGACTCTTTTTAATTCACAAGTTGTCTAGGAGTCCTTTGCCTCTACAAGAATTTAAAATTAAGAAAAGGCAGTGTTTTAAAAGGTGGAAATGCTATTTACCCTTGATTTCATCCCTGCCCATTGTATACCTGTTGAATTTTTTTAATTTTTATTTTTATCAGTACATATTTGCAGTACATAATGACTGCATTAACGGTGGGGGTCAGTGCGTGTACATAACACATCTTAATTTTTTTAGGTCCCTTTCCCCGCCCTCCCTTCATCTTTAATGGCAACACATCGGTCTTCCCATTGGCAGAGGATTTATCTACTTGTTTCCTATTATCTCTTTTATTTTACTCTTTAATTTATTATACTTTAGTTTTCTTATATACGAAAATTATTTGATATTTAAACTTGTGTGCCTGGCTCATTTCATTTAACACTATGGGCTCGAGGTGCTTCCACTTTCCCACAGATGACTCAAATATATCCTTCTTTATAGCAGAGTAGTATTCTACTGGGTACAAATGCTATATTTCCTTTCCATTTAGCTGTTGACTGACATATAAGTTGCTTCTAAGGTCTGTTATGAATTGTGCTTCTGTAAACACAGGCGTTCGTGTGTTGCTATACTATGATGCTCTTAACTCAGAAACACTTAGAAGGGAATAGCTGGGACAAATGAGATTGCTGCTTTTAGTTTTTCGAGGACTCTCCACACTTATTTCCATAGTGGTTGTACTAGTTTCCATTCCCACCAATAATACTTGTTCTGAATTATCGCACTGTCCTCATGAATATATACCATTAAATTATTTTTGTCAAATATGCTCTCATTTCTGTGTTCCCATGTAACTGTAGAGAATTTTCAACTCTTTGTTCCCCCAAAGGACTAGGATCCAAACTTCTCATGACCAGTTTCAGAGAAATAGTTATGGCTAAATTTAAGATATCTGAGAGCAAAGAGCTTTAAAATAAAGTCTCCAGGGCCGGGGATTTAGCTCAGTGGTTCAGTGGCCTGCCTTACAAGCGCAAGGACCTGAGTTCAATCCCGGTACCAAAAAAATAAAAAGTAAAAAAAGATAAAATAAAGTCTTCTGTAGGAGAAAAAGTCCAATAACGACACAGCATTAATATCATTATAATGGATGGCAAGAGCAATATTAGATTTCCAATAAAGATGACTAGAGAAATCACATTTCCCCTCCAAAAAATATGTTGGGAGAAGTAAAGGAGGGATGATTCCAAATCTGTATTTTAAGACAAAGGAAATAATTTCTCTGTTCATGTAAACAAAATGATTTGTCTTTTCATAACATAATGTTCAAACATAATTCATTTTATGCATTCTTCCTTAATACACTCAGTATTATTATGAAAAACAAACAAAAAAAGAACTTAAAATATAGTAAAAACCTAAA